TAACTTTATCTAAATATATCATTTTTGACTGATTCTAGTTGAATTTGATTCTACACATCTAGGGCTTCAAATGTATATATGGATCACTAGATTTAGAGTTGTTTTTGATTTTTTTATGATTTTTTGACGTTGAGGAAGATTTGCTAAATATTGTTGCAGGATTGCATTTGGACCCTTGTTATTTAATAATTGTATTTAGGCTTTTAGATATTATTGAGGCCCGAATTTTGGCTATTTAATTTACCCTAATCAGAATTTATAAATAGACTAATAAGGCTCTGAATTAGTGGATGTGATTAGACACTTTATATTTTTGAGATTTGGCCGAAATAAGAATCATTGTTTTAATTTTTTCTCGAATTCTCTCACTCACGTGGGTTAAGTACTCCGATGAAAGGCTAAACCTCCTATTCAATCTGCGGAATCCAAACGCTGTAATTCTGATTTGAGTTCTGGGCCGAATTGCTTTGAGTTTGTTCTCTTTTTCTCTAATATCAAATTTGTGTATTGCGATCGTAATTAACTTTTCTATTGTTAGAATTTAAATTAGGATTCAATTGATATTCTAATTTGATAATTAATTCGGGTTAGGTTAAATGATAATTTGATTTAATTTGTGATCCAGTTCAATTAGGTTATTCAATTGAATTAATAATTGAATTAAGTAAACGTTCAAATTTAGATTAAAATCTTTAGATACTATGATAATCAGAATTACACACATTTTGTATGTTGTAGATTAATATTTTTTTCATTTGTTTTCTCCCAAATTTATTCTATTTATAGTTCCATTTAGTATTTTGCAAATTTTAAAACACCCAAAAGTTTACTTGCATTCTTTAAAAGAAAACTTAAAAGTGAATTTAGCTAAAAATATGTCCCTGTGAATTGACTTAGGTTTATCCCTATACTATAAAATCTTTAGAGAACTTAATTGTTTTGAACTTTACTAATGCATTGGAAGAAATTGAAAAAGTCATAGTTTCCTCTGACTGATTGGCAGGAGCAACCATTGCTTCTATTTTAGGCATTAAAATTTGAAACAAAACATAGAAAGATAATCAAAACAGATAAGAAAATAAAAAATCAGAGAAGGAAAATAAAAAAAGAATCTTCAGTTATTAAAAATGTGCAGGTTCATCAAAAAGTTTCTAAAGATATAGAAGATGACTAGAAAATATTTGGGGTGATGTAGGCCAAGATTCTCTCCCGTTTTGGTACCAACTAAACGGTCCAGTCAAGTAAAATTTTGCATTTTCGCTTAAGCAAAAACTTTTGGCTTAAGCAAAAATGCAAAATCAATCTGACTAGACGTCCAATTACAGGAGAGAATACATGTTCTGTCGGAAGTTTTACCAGACTTAAAAAAAAGATGATTAAAGATAAAAAAAGATGACTAAAAATAGTCTAGGCCACTTCAGAGGCTTCATTGGAAAAGAAATTGGAAAAGAAAATGATGGGAGAATGTCTTTATGGCATCAAAAGAGTCGCTATAGAGAGGAAGAAAGACACCGGAAGCAATGGAATTGTGAAGAACGAAGATGAAAAAATTAAATTGAAGGAGAACCGAGAGATGAGAAGGAGAGAGCTTAGGGCTTGCGTGAAATGGAGGGAGAAGATATCAGTGTATAAGGGGCAAAATCTTAAGATTGCCCCCTTAAAAGTTGACGTTAAAAACATGGGGACAAATCTAAACATTCAGCGCACATGGAATAGTGGTTGTGACAGCCACAATTTCTCGTGTTTTTTTGTTACAATTTGCGGCGTGACAACCACTCCTTTGAAAAATTCATTCAATCGACTAAAAATAAATTTTAAATATTATAATTAACTTTTCAAAAATTAATATTATAAAAGATTATTGTGTTAGTTAAATTAGTTATTTTAGTTACCTGATATATATGAATAATTCTTGTATATCACACTGTTAAAAAGTTACTGTAAAAACATTTGCTGTAAAACTATAACAATGACTACCTCAACAACTTGGTGCCAGCAGGCACAGACCTTGCATGAACTTTTAGCCCTTCGTTCTCTGGAATCTTTATCTGAACTTTTATTTTTTATCAATTAGAATCGGATATTATTATAATAATAATAATAATAAACGACCCCCCCCCCCCCCCCCCCAACGGCGATTTGATAAAAGAAAAATAAGAATTACATGTAATATGATGCACATGAGAAATAAGATAAGCGTTGTAGTCAAAATAGCGCCCTCGTGTTTCAAATGCATAAATGTCACCAAGTAGATATTATATTTTATATAAAAGTTTAATTGTATTTTTTTTAATTTAAGTGTTTTAGTTTAATTATTTATAGTTAAATTTTTAGTTTGTCAATTATTTAAAATAAATTTCTCACATAAAAATTATCCAATAATTAATTAGAGTATAAAATAAATATGACATAATATTGATATATATATATATATATATATATATATATATATATTAGTAGTAAAATATGAAAAATATTTACACAAATGCTATATAAAATATAATAATTTTAATCTTTAATTTTTTTTTACATTTTTATTTATACATTTATATACATTAATGATATATTTCATATTTTTATGATTAAATTAATTAGTAGATAAAATTTTTAGATAAAATATTTAATTTAAAGAATAAAAAAACTATAAAAATGAAATGTGAATAATTAAAATTAAAATATACGAGTTAAAATTATAATTAAACTTTAAAAAATTCTAAATATATGGTTGGTTTCTAACAACTACTTTTTATCAAAGAGTAATACTATTTTTACACATGTTTATAATAGTATATTTTATTATTATTTTTTATCATTTATTTATTTTACATTTCTTTAAATTTGTTTGGAAATAATACTTAATTAAATATTTATTTAATAAACTCTTTTTAAATGATAGTTTTTGTTATAAATTTAACAATGAAATTTATTAGAATAATTTAAAAATTATTTTTTATAAGTTATACTAAAAAGTTTATTAAAATAAGTTAAAAATATAAAAGCCATAAGTTATTTATATCTCTCCCAAACAAATCCTTTATCTACTTTTATTTTCTCTCTTTGTCAGTAAAAGGAAAAAAGTTATGCTATACAAATATTTTTTTCTAACAATTTATGCAAATATTCATTTTAGTTAAAGCTAGTGTTATGAGGCATCAAAATTCCATTAATTTTTGTCTAGATAAATAACCAGAGATGAAATATGACAAGTTAGGTATTGAATCTTTTTCGTCCTACTCCTGCCCACTTATATTAATTAATATAAAAATAATAAAACCATAAATTAGGATGATAATTTTCTTTATGTTTTTTATTTGCATTAATTTATCAAAACCCTCATATGTGAATTCGATCTTTTTTAATGAAAAAACTTGAATCAAAGTTCATCTTCGAAGTGAGTTTTCTCCATCAAACTTAGGTTGTAGTTAGAAATTCTCGCCCGTTCGAATCTTATTATCATCCCTAGAAATAACATTTCAAATGTTGCTAAATCTAATTAGAAAATAATAGATAAAGTAGAAGAATTATACCAAAACTGATAGATCGAAATGAAATAACGGATTGCATAACAGTTTTTCTTTTTTTCTTAATTTCATGAGTTAATAAAATATTTTTTTAATATAAAGTAGCATTTTTTAAGAGAAATTTTTTTAAGAGTCTCTACACCCCTTCAGTATTGTTTTAGGAAGAAGGGTATCCACACCTCTTCGACTCCACTTTTGAATAAGGAGTACCAACATCTCTTTAGTCACATTAAGATAAATTAATAAACTAATTAAGATAATTATCTAAGCAATTAGAAGATTAATCTAAGGCTGACTCATCAAGTCTATTAGCCCAATATTATGTATATAAAAGGAAAGTAAAAAAATAAGTAAAAGAGGATTTTAAAATATTTAATAGCATTTATTACTTTATATTAAATACTTATTTGATCGTCGGAGTGCATCCTTCCCTCTCTAGATAAGGAGAATTAAAATATTCTATGAGGACGTTATAACAGTGCGCAAGGATAGAAGTTACAATGAATAAGTGTATCATTTTCAGAAACATTTATAAAACTTGAATCTAAAACCTTATTAAAGAAAATAAAAAATTGTTAAAAGAATAAAAATAAAAAAGTTAGAAAACAATTTTATTCATTATTTTCTAGTATTCTAATTCAATAGTTTGTAAAACAAATGTAAAATTGCATCGGTCCAAAATATGAGAATGTAAGCTGAAAAAATGTTAATGTGACCTCTTCGGAAAAGAATTGAAAGGTGAATTAAAACTTAGATACTACGGAAAGTATCTTATTAAAATAGATAAAAGTTAGATCAAGTTTCTTATATTTTTATTATATTTCTCTATTAATAAATATTTTGCATGTGTTATAAAATTATTAATAATATTTGTGTACGACTACGGGGCCAAAAGACCGAGAAACTACTTAATATAAGTTGTATACTTGTGAAAAATTGTCACTAAACTACCAATGATGGCTTTGGAGATGGAAGAGTTGAAGATTAAGTTCATAAGGTTTGCTTTAAAAAAAATTAAGAAAATATAAAAATAATACATGAATTTATTAAAATAAATTAAGCTAAACGCGCATTAACGTAGATGAAAAACATTTCGTTAAATAAATCATGAACTTGAAGGGACCGCGACGCGAAGGTCGGTTGAACGGAGCTCCCCACCGGCCATCGTGCGAGTTGTGCAATGTCAAATTTATCCACCCGCACTCGTCAATACAATGGGTCAACGTTTCCATAACCCCATGCCCATAGTCACGTTTCCGTCCGTTAGTTAAAGGATCTTTTATTATTTTTAAAGATAATTAAAAAAAATTATTTATTAATCTAAAACAGGATTGGACCAGTTAAGTAACCACGTGATATTAAAAGTATAAAAATGAGAAGGACGGTAAGTAAGAGTCTAAGAGAGAATCACACACTTGAAAACGTTAGTGCATGCGATTATATTATATAAGGAAGAGTAGTTAAATGGAGAGCTGGAAAAGTAAGAAAAAAGGGGGAGCAAGTGATCGATAGGAATTGAGAGATGGAGGAACACAGTGGAAAAGGGATAGATCCGAGAAGTGGGTTCTGCACTGCAAATTCAATCTTCTACAGTAAGCGCAAGCCCCTTCCACTCCCTCCCAACAACGCCTTAGACGTCACCACATTCATCTCCTCACGCGCCCACCGGGGAACCACCGCCTTCATCGACGCAGCCACAGGGCGGCACTTCACCTACCAACAGCTATGGCAGGCGGTGGACGCCGTGGCCGCCTCTCTCTCGGACATGGGCATCGGAAAGGGGAACGTGGTCCTCCTCCTCTCTCCCAACTCCATCTACTTCCCAGTGGTGTGCCTGGCCGTCATGTCCCTCGGAGCCATCATCACCACCACCAACCCTCTCAACACCTCGCGCGAAATAGCCAAACAGATCGCCGATTCCAAGCCCCTCCTCGCCTTCACAATCCCTCCCCTGCTTCCCAAGCTCACAGCCGCATCACCCTCCCTCCCAATCGTTCTCATGGACCACGCCGATTCACCCCCTCCCAGAATAGTTACCACGCTTGAGGAGATGATGAAGAAGGAACCCGGGGCTAGGCGAGTGAGGGAACGAGTTGACCAGGATGACACGGCCACGCTGCTCTACTCCTCCGGCACTACGGGACCCAGCAAGGGCGTGGTTTCTTCGCACCGGAACCTAATATCGATGGTTCAGATCGTGTTGGGTCGGTTCAGAATGGAAGAGGGGGAAACCTTCATCTGCACAGTGCCCATGTTCCACATATACGGTCTGGTGGCGTTCGCGACGGGGATTCTGGCTTCGGGATCCACCATCGTGGTGCTGTCCAAGTTCGAGATGCACGACATGCTGTCGGCAATTGAGAGGTTTGGTGCGACGTACCTGCCGCTGGTGCCGCCCATACTGGTGGCGATGCTGAACAACGCCGATGCGATAAAGGGAAAGTACGATTTGAGGTCGCTGCATTCCGTGCTCTCCGGTGGGGCTCCGCTGAGCAAGGAGGTGATAGAGGGGTTCGTGGAGAAGTACCCCAACGTCGCCATCCTTCAGGGTTATGGCTTGACGGAATCAACCGGCGTTGGGGCCTCCACCGATTCCTTGGAGGAGAGTCGAAGGTACGGCACCGCCGGCCTCTTGTCGCCTTCCACTCAGGCTATGATCGTCGACCCTGACTCCGGTCAGTCCGTTCCGGTTAACAGCACCGGTGAGCTCTGGCTCAGGGGTCCCACCATTATGAAAGGCAAGCTTTTAACTTTTTTGTTTTAATTTTGAAAATGATGCTAGTGGATTTGTTACGTCAGCGTTTGTTTTTTTCGGGGGAAATATTATCTTTATATAAGCGCTAGTCTACAGTCCCGTGCCGAAAACACATTATACGGTCAAAATGTACATTAAACTAGGAAATTATTTCTTTTGGAATTCGGAGGGATCATGGCTTATGTTATGCGAATTGATTTTAAATGATCTTCGCGTGCATCCGAAACTTGTCTGCCATGTCGGGGGTTTACCTAGTATCTACTGTCCCTTAGATGAGTTTCTGAATGTTTTTATTTGCTATTAATAGATTGGTTCAAGTTGCTCCAGATTAACGAATAAATCTTTGTTATTCAATGTTTTAGCTACTCAAGAATTTTAATTATCGGTATTTGACAAGTTAATTATGTATAGAAATGTCTCTTTTTTGTATTTAAATGATTTGATTACTCAAAAATCATAGCCGTTTGAGTTCTGTCAGTTCTAGAATGATAAAACTTTCAGAGCATATATTTCGGTATTCCTTGAAGTTTTCTTTCCTCTTTGTTATCTCTTCAATTAAGCAATGAAAATTTTTAAATTTAAAATATTTCGTTTTCTTTGATTTTCTCCAAGCATAGGGTAAAGGTTTGTGCAACAGGTGGATGAAATTGTGGTTTGGTTTATTATTCGATGTATGTTTTAACTGACGTTGAACGCGTGGGAAATGGCAGGCTACTTTAGTAACGAGGAGGCAACCACATCAACCCTTGATTCAAAGGGATGGTTGAGAACAGGGGATGTGTGTTACATCGACAATGATGGATTCATATTTATTGTCGATAGATTGAAAGAGCTCATTAAATACAAGGGATATCAGGTACTAGATTGAGAATAATCTGTTATTGTCATCATCAGTTGTATTTAACAACTGTAGAGACCTGCTTTATTCAACGAAACATAAAATTGGAATTGGAATTGGTATTGGTATTGGAATAGGAATATTGTCAATATTAGTGATGATCTCGATTTTGTTTGTTGATATTTTAGGTCCCTCCAGCAGAACTAGAGGCCTTGTTGCTGACTCATCCTGCTATTTTAGATGCTGCTGTCATACCGTATGCCTTTCAACTACCCCACATATTGCTAAAAAAACAATATTGCGATTTCGGTTTTCTTAATTTAATTTAATTTAATTTAATGATTATGTCATGTATTATATCAGGTATCCAGATAAGGAGGTTGGGCAGTATCCAATGGCATATGTGGTAAGGAAGGCTGGAAGTAGCATATCAGATAGCCAAGTTATGGAGTTCGTTGCAGGACAGGTTAGTCTTCAACAATTGCCACTTCTTATTATTAAATAGTAAATATCTGATTGTCTCAGTTCAATTTTAATGGCTGAAATTATATGGAATATTTGACCCAAGTATAATCTTGAAACATTGCATACAGGTGGCTCCTTACAAGAGAATTCGAAAAGTGGCGTTTATATCTTCCATACCCAAAAACCCATCTGGCAAAATTCTTCGGAAGGATCTCATCAAGCTCGCAACCTCTAAACTCTGAAGAGGTGTGTCTATTCGTATTTGGGTTTTTATTGGAGTTGGAGAAGTGATGAATCTTTGACTAGTTTCTTTCTTGGCTGTAATTTTTCTGACTTGTTTATTTTGTTGATTTCATAGTAGATACACTTTTTATATGTTCTTTGTTCGATATTGTAAAGAGCAGCAAATGCTGACTGCTCCTTAATATTCTCAGAGGGAATAAAATTGGCTTTTACTGATTTTATTTTTCAGTGAAATATTATAACTTGAACGAAGTAATGGAATGTATAGGTGAAGGGATTTTCTTTGTGAAGCTAAGCAAAGACCAATTTTGAAAATTTTAGAAAGTGAAAATGCGCAATCTCTTCCGCAAGTTTAAGTTAGCGGCATTTGACCATTGGGTGTCCAAAATACAATTCGACCACCCTATATGTTTCGCTGGAACCCAATCGTTGGTTAGGGACTTGTGGGTGCGTAGACACTGTTCTATTGGATTAGAATGGTCCTGTTTATGCAGCCCTGCAGACAGGCTCTCAGGTGAAGAGCTTGTTTGTATATATGTTTGTTAGCTTTTCTTAGTTATATAATATTTTTTACTTTCAAGTAATTAAATATATTAAAAAGTTATTTTTAAATTTTTTGCAAATTAACACATTACTCCATTAACTAACAAACTCATCCTGTTTAATCTACAGCTTATGCAAGCCAGTTCATATGGAGTCCCAATTAAATCAATGACTTATTTTTATGTCCAAGTTTGTAACTTTGCAAGTCTTTACACGCAAACCTACGAAACAAAGTTGGTATACCTAACTATGAATGTTAAATATTTTTACATGTTTTTACCTTTTTTACTATTCCCAAGTGATGAAATTTAAATTTAATGGGATTGAAACAATGAGAGTGCATTTGAATTTTTTGTTATATTATTTAAACTACAATAATTTAATACCGATGCAAGTTGTTAGTAAAAATGTTATTTGATATATTAAAACAAGTAAAAATCTTTACTTCTTTTCGCTATTTTCATTTTGCCTCTCGGTAAAAGAAAGAGAAAGAGTGACGAATCCTTTCTTTTTAGAGGGTAAAAGAAACTAATAAAAAGTATAGGAAAATGCTGGATGTTAAACATGTTCTCACACTAAAAAATTAACATTTAATTTGATTGAAAATTTTGTTATTTTACAATTTTTTATAATCTTTTCATATGTTATAAATGTTGAGAGAAAATAATGCTAAGTAATAAAATCTTGTATTAGTGGTTTAGTAATAAGTTAAAACATCTATATGTAAAAAAATTATAAATTTAAATTGTCAAAGCATTTTACATAACCAGATCACCCAAATTTAAGTTATTATCTCTCAAACTCTTGAATTAGGCTCAATAAGTATAAACAAAATATAAATTAATATCATAAAATTTAGGTAATATGCTATTTTTTTTATAATGACATCATGTGCAATGTATCCTCTAATTTTATAAAAAGTGCGTTCCTGTCTACCAATTTTTAAAATAAACAAGATAATTATTTCATTAATTTAATCTTTGGTTAAAGTGTGTTGGAATTTGAAACATGATTCAATTTATTTCCATTAACGAGGGACTATTTTGAAAATGTTAATGATTAAAATATACATTTATAAAAAAAGATTAATGATTAAATTACAAATTTATCCAAGTTTTAGATAGTTAAGTTGAATTTCTTTTAGGATAATTTTGAAATACATAATTACACTATGTTTTTAAAGATAGCTTGTAACTTATTTAAGAGCTTGTAGCTTATTAATTTATCACTAAGTTAATAGAGCTGTTTGGTAAATATAAAATAAAAGAATTTATAAAGAAATGTTTAACTTTCCAAAGTTAGTTACCAATATTTTTCTTGTATTTTTACTCTTAATTTATTTTTGTCTTAATTATATTTTTGGTTCCTGTAAATACAAGGCATTTTGTGATAAGTCCTTCTAAAATATTTTGTTAGGATTTAGTTCATGTAAAGTTAAAAAATTATAATTTAGTCTCTGTAGTTAACTCTCTTATGTTAAATGCTGAACTGCCAGACAGAGACACAGCTCAACACTTTCACGTGACATGTCACATTATTTAATTATATAATATTTTATTAAAAATTAATATTCATAAATAAGTCCCTAAATATATTTTTAATATTTACAAAAAAGTTCTCTTTTCTTTTCCCTTTCCTTTCTCTGCTGTCCACTTCTCCTCCCCTTTCTCCCAACCATATTTACATACCCTTCCCTTTACCCCACCCCAACCCCCACCCCTCTTTCAACCTTATTCCTACCCCTATTCCCAACCCTATTCCCGTATCCTCCCTTTTACCCTATCTTTCCACTTCTCCTTTACACCACTCTAACCCTATCCCCATACCTTTTCCTAACTTCCAACCTTATGCCCCTACCCTTCCTTTTACCCCCTTTCCTTCCCCCTCCTCCTCCCCTTACATCACCCTAACCCTATTCCCGCACCCTCTCTAAACCTCCACCCTTCTCTTAACCCCATTCCTGTACCCTCCCTCACCGCTTTACATCACCTAACCCCAACTCTTCCTCCTTCATTTTACCCTATCACATTGTTGCACCCTTCCCCAATCCTTAACTCTTCCCTTTCAGCACACCCCATCGCACTCTCCCCCTCCCTAAACCATCACACCCCAACCCTATCTCCATTAAAATTTAAAATCAAGCAATGAACATTTTATGCAAAATTCATTGAATTGTATAATCTTAGTTTTAACTTTGGTGTTATTTTTTTTTATGTTCTATTGCTATGAGGTTGAATTGCAGTATTTATCAACCACATGGAGTTAGGATTTATGGGTAGGGTGAAGGTGCAAGTGGGGTAGGGAGAGGACGATGGGCATGCAAGTAGGGAGTGGGAAAAAAGAGGAGAAGGGGAAGAGGAGGGGGAGGGGATGGGGAAGAGTAGGTAGCAGGGGAAAGGATAAGAAAAGAGGGTTCTTTTGCAAATATTAATTTTAAATAATAAAATATTATAATTAAATGACATTGCATGTCACATAAAAGTGCTAAGCTGGCTTTGCATCTGCTAGCTCAACAATTAATAGAAGAAAGTTGACAACAGGAACTAAATTCTAACTTCTTAACTTTACATGGACTAAATCCTAACAAAAAAAATTATAAGAACTTATCACAAAATGTCTCATATTTATAGGAACAAAAAACATAATTAGCTCTTTTTTTTTTTTTTAGAAAAGAAAACTTATCATTCACACAATTAAAATTTCAATACGTTAATTTTAGGATAAACCCTCACTTTAGTCTATGAAATATGCAACTTGAAAAAAGTTAGTCCTCAAAATTTAAAATTTTACTCTTTGAAATTAATAATCGTCAATCACGTTAGTTTTTGTCTTTAGCACATGTTAAGATTGAGTAATAAAGTGATGAATTTTCACATTAAGTAACATATGTCAATTTATTTTAAACACAAAATGACGTCATTTTATAATCTTTCAAAATAGTTCATTTTCGTTTTTGACTTTTGATATTTTTTAGTAATAAGGTCCCTGTTTCGCCTTCTTCCTTTTCTCCGATCATCGCTACAATTACGTTCCTTATTCCATGGTGTTTGTTTCGCCTTTTTTCCACCACAATAACCTCATTCTCACTTTCTCTCTATAGTTCTCTCTTTTGTTCAACCTAAGATATCATCTTTTTTCTCGTAAATACAACCCAACAAGCTCAAGTTCTCATTAACTTAAACATAATCTCTCAACTACCTCTCTCTCTATCTCTCTCTCTCCACCACTACACCCACCAAAACCACTCATAAATCCAACCTTTCTGTTAACCCACTCCACACCCCACACTCCTCAGATCCCATCTCTCCCTCAACCTCTCTAATGTTTCCCCTTCTTGTCAGATCGGTGTATTTTACATATGTATTCTTTTATTTGAATTTTATTGTATATGCTTCAAGTGATAGATTTTCACATTTTGGAATACGAATACAAAAATTGTATGATTTTGATGTAAGAGCTGAGCAATTACAAGTGCAGAATAATTGTTGTGTTTGATATCATTAAGTGTATTATATGTGTGTTAACCTAAGGAGTGAAGTTAAGGGCTTGTGTACCTTTGTTAAGAGTTTTGGGTACAGTGTGCCTCGCTCAGGCGAGGTAACTCTCGCTCAAGCAAGACTGAATCATGCAGAATTGAACATTCTAGGGTGTTCTTGCTTAAGTGAGATCAGTCTCGTTCAAGCGAGATAAGATAGGATCATCCCAATTGTCCCTTTGTCAAGGCGGGAAGGGATCTCGCTCAGGCAGGAGAAAAGCTCACTCAAGTGAGAGAAGCTCGCTCAAGCGAGGAGTCGCAGGAAAAATGGGTAGCTCTCTGGACTCAATCTCACTCAGGCGAGAACGTTACTCACTTAGGCAAGGTGCTCCCCGCTCAAGCGAGAATAGAAGAATTTGAGAGGTTTCATTATCTGGTTTTCTCGCCCAGGCGAGAATAAGGCTCGCTCAGGCAAGAGTTAGCTCGCTCAAGTGAGAGTGCACGTGCCTGGAAGGGTATTTAAAGATCCACAGCACTAAGAAACATTCATTTATCACCAGACAACACTTCTCTCTCATTTTCTCTCTATTCTCTCACCTTCATACCTTAAAGGAAGCCTTTTCAAGGTCGAAATTCTTCTCTATTCAAGTGAGAACCTTTGTTTGGTACAGATCTAGGTAAGTTCTTGAGTTCTCACTCTCCAACCTTGCTTCTTATTTCTTGGGTTCCTCTCCTCTAAATTTTTTATTTACTAATAGTGAGGAGATCTGAGCCTTGGGCGTTGTTTCTTTCCTTAGAAGTTTATGTGGAGTTCGATCTGAGAAACCCATTCCAAGTAAGGGGAGTTTACTCAAACTGGCTTTAACCATATGCTAGGTATTAAGATATCTATATGTCCAACTTGATCCTAGTTAAAAGTAAACTCATGTATGAACAAACTCTAGGAAAGAATCCCGAGTAAGTATGGCTGGGTGACTTGATTGTTGTTAACGAGTGTATTGAGCTTGATGTGTTATGATGGGATTTTCTGCTATTTCGTGTGTGTGGTATAAAATTATTTATGTTTGAGATAATCATTGAAATGCGATTGTATAATATGCTGAGACTGTTTGATAAGAATTATGAATGATGTATTTAAATGCTTATTATATGATGGTGTTGAAATCGTATTGAAATGTTGTAGGCAAACATGCTGAGCGGTAGGCAAATTTGCTGAGTGATAGGCAAATGTGTTGAGTTATACGTTCCTTCTGAAT